TATGTGGAAAATAATGTGTTTTTTGAACCTTAAACCACATAAACACATTTCATTACACCAAATACACAAAATAATTTTCTTTTTAGCAGCATCATATGACCCCTTTAAATGGCTCCAATCTTTTATCAAAAATGAGCATTTATTTTGGTTTGCAATTCCACCCAGTCTCTTTAAAAAATGTGGAGGTATAAAGTTTTTCATAAACAAGTCTTCTTGTATTGGAAGATGTTGTTCAAACACAATTTCAGTCCACATAATGTATCCTTATGGAATAACCGTTGTATATTGTTTCAGAGAAAATCTTTGTTTATGGAGGCGTGGTGGCAAAAAGGTATTTGGTCAGTGCTGAACATGATGGATACAAATGGCTGTTTATGGAATTATAATGATTTCTGTACCAAATTCAACTTTAATTGTGAGAAAAAAGATTATATAAAAGTCATCAAAAGTATTCCTTTACAAATGGTTATTATGTTTAAAAGGATTTTTAACATATTCTACGCTTATTCCCAGAATAGTTTCTTAATTTAGACAAAATAAGTTTTGTTGATAAGAAGTGTACAAATAAGATTATAAGAAACTGTCTTTTGCAGGAAAGCTATCCTGGTCGTATACGAAGAGATTACATTTTTCGACATCTCAGTAGGAAATTAGTAAAGGAATTCAGAAGTAAATATCTTGTATTTCCCCTTCCACCCAAAAATAAAGAAATACATTTTAAAATTATGTATGATATTTACCTAGCCAAAGAATTTTTAAGATTTAATGTAAAGTCAAATACTTGTCAGATTTGTAATAATGAAATTAAAACTTAAACATTTGTTTTTTCAATGTAATTTGGTTAATCCATTTTGGAATGAGGTGCTTAATTGGATAAAACATAAAGTACTTTCTTTTCCATCTATCAGTTGGGATATGGTAAATTTTGGTGTACATTTGGAGGACAAAAATGCAGACTTTGTTATAAATCGTCTATTTCTTAGTTAATTTTTTTATTCACAAATGTAAAGTTTTGAAAACTGCACCCTAATTTAATGTATTTACAAAAGAGCTAACCTTATATACTGATGCCTTAAAAATTATGAGAACATATAAAGCCAGGAAATTACTTGTTTTGTTTAATCAATATGAATTTATTTCAAATATTTATTAGCCTATTTGAATTAATCTCCTACAGTGCTTTTGTATTTGAATAATTTATTTTATTTTATTTTACTACTATTATTATTTTTTTTTTGTGACTATGTATTACAATTTGTTATATCTAAGTCTGTGAAGTTGTACAATTTAAATGATGCTGGCTTATGTTATTGTTCATATGCAGAATAAAAAAAAAAAAAAGGTTGGCAGCGCGAAAAAAAAAGTTCGCTGGTATTTAGGCTTCAAAATTAATAAAACATATTATTTTGTGACTATTATCTTGATGGACAAAACATGTAAGTATCATGAACTATGACTGAATACAAAGTTTATTTTTATGATAATCCAAAAGCCTATGGAAAAATCCTATAGACCAATTTGGAGTAGACGTCACAGTTACGTCACTTGCAAATATATATTTTTTAAGCATTTATAACAGCCCAAACATACCTATATACATATAGAATACTGCACCAAACAAATTCATAAGGGAAAAAATGTAAAAAATAAACCAACTCCATAGCTGATTCTAAGTGATCAAGGGCTTAGAACGTTCCAATTCAGCCCATTCCAAGGGTTCCGCCAGAAGGAGAAGGGTGTTCCTGCACAACCGGAGGCTGCAGTTCTAGGACCGCAGTTCTAGGACCCTATGCTTTTGTAACAGCGCCACCTACCGAATTGGATCACTAAAGATGGAATCACCAGATTCATCTAAAGTACTGCCAAAAGGACAGGCTAATAACACATATTGTGGTGCAACCAAGCAATGTGCCCAGTTTAATTATGAAAGATGATTTATACTTAACTAATATGCTAAAACAATGAGTATCAAACAAGTTTTCACACTAATACAGTAAGCTACAGGTAAATCTGACACATGTCACATCAACATGCTTTTATCATCTTTTTAAGTTGAATGAATGTGCTGGCTAGATTTACTTATTGTAGTCATTATGTCAAAAAGGTTTAGCTTAATTAAATCATGGCCACGAATTAAGAACATCGTAATAATCAATAAAACTAGCAATCGGGAATTCATTATTATTTCTTAGCAGTTCTCACGTTGGCTACGTAAACTTTGCATCGTTTTAAGGTTATAAAATAAAACTTAATTGAAAATCGGTAAAGTTACTCACTCTATTTGCTGTCCATGTCGTCCATCTTTAGTGATCCAATTCGGTAGGTGGCGCTGTTACAAAAGAATAGGGTCCTAGAACTGCGGCCCTGAAACTGCAGCCTCCGGTTGTGCAGGAACATACTATTGGGCCAGAAGTGGGCATTCATGCAACGTAATCAATGACGTACATCCGAGTAAACGAGACGGAGGGAAGTTTGCTAGTGAAGGGCATAAAAAAACGGACTGGAACGCAGCCTAGGAATTAAGTGGAGGGAAACTGGTAAAATCCATGGAATACGAGAACAAATGTATTGTTGTGCTTTTGGATGTCAGAATCAGAATGCAAATCATTTTTATAGAATAATGTCATCAAAGGCCATTTGAAGCTAAACGCAGACGTTTAAACGGACAAACTATGGATGAAACCTGCTACGATTACCCCACTTTTAAAGCATAAATTTGAGTTAAACAATAGGTCTATATAATATTCACATAGGGGACATATTGTATTAGCCCTACAGTTAAAGCATGAAATACTATTTAAACCTATAACATTTTACATTACATTTAGCCTACCTATTTTATCTCACAATTCTGACTTTTTTTTTCTCACAAATGCAAGTTTAAATCTCCTAGTTCGGACTTTATAACTTGATTTACCTCAACAATTGCGAGTTTGCCAATTCTGAGGGGAAAAAAGCCGGAAGTGTGGGATATAAACTCATGATTCTGAGCCAAGGGGATAAAGAGAGAATGACGAGCTGGTTTTTTTCTTAACAGAATTGTGAGATATAATCTCGGAATTGCAAGAAAAAAGTCAGAATTTTGAAATAAAAACTCAAAATGTACCTTTTTTATTCTTTTATTCCATGGCTTGCATAGACTGCTACGTTACAACGGGCAGTTTCTGCCACCAGATAGACTCCGCCCACATAAACGTCATCACTGTTTGAGGTGTGATGCTAACAGCCGATTGGCCAACAAAGTGACGTCATAGTTCCACCTCTCTAGGAAGTGTGGAATTTATGCACTTAACAGACGTGCTGGATGGCGGCTCCTGAGGCAGAGTTGGTGTTGAAATGGGAAAGGTTAGAAAATCATGAATAAATATGTTGCCTTGTGTTGCTTGCGTATTTATAACAAAAGTGCCATTTGATTAAGCGATAGCAAATAGCGAGCGATACTCCAACATCATCACTTGAGCTCACCGAACATGGAAAATAGATCGTAATCGTGATTCGTGACACCGTGTGAAGCCATACTAGATTACATATTGGGTGGGTTGCACCAATAAGGATTAAACCTAAATCTAGATGAAATCAAAGTTTATCAAAAAATTTTGTTGCACCAATCTTTAAACCTTGTTTAAAAATAAGTAGGTTTACATTTTATATTAAATCAAGGTTTATCCAAAATTTCTGTTGCACCAATCTTTAAACCTTGTTTAAAAATAAGCAGGTTTACATTTAAACCATCATTTTGATCCTGGATTGAATTTATATTTAAGATTAATTTGAATCCTATTGCTCCATAACTTTAAACTCAAGATTTAAATCTGAATTAGGGAATAACTTTAAATTTACAGGTGAGGTTGATAATTTATGTTCTCCTCCCTTTTTATTCTTACTCTTATGTCCTAGGACATATTGGTTGTTTTTTTGTGCATGTGTTGTAAAAGAAAGCTCTTTTTCTTTCTTCAGTATTCACTTTGTTCTGTTGCTATTTGTCAAATGGACCCTTTTATTAACTAGAGATATACATGGAGGTCATAAGTATGTGTATATGTTTTGCAATTGTATGCTGTATTTTGTTTATATGGAAAAATGTAAATATTTTTCCTTTTTTGCCAACTTATTCAGTTCCCCAGTTAGTTTAACAGTACACTGAACAGTTCAGACTTGGACCAAAGACTGATGAGCTATTGATATGAGCAGGCCATGCGTGAACGGAGCACATGAATGAAGTGGCGAAATTAAAGTTTTTATGGTTTATGTAAAAAGGTCAGTTGATTGCGACTAGTTTATTTACTTTATATGCTTTAGATATGCAAAACATACACGTTTAAAATTATTGTGTGCTTTAAAGGAGTCCCATTATGCTCTTTTGCACTTTCTACTTCCTTTAGTGTGTAATGTTTCAGTTTGTGCATGTGACCTGCAAAATTACCAAGCACAAAGTCCATTTCAAAGGGAGTTATTCTCTATTAGTAAGCACTGTTTCTAAACTCCCTCAAATTCCTTGATTGCAGATGACAAAAGGCACATAGTATACTTGTACTATTCACTGATCAGCCACAATATTAAAACCACCTGCCTAAATCTTCTATTGCTCCATGATCAGTTCCGTGGTGGGCAGGGATCATCATGGGCACTCTGACAGGTCTGTCGCTACACAGCCCCATAAGAAGCAAACTGCAATGCACTGTGTGTTCTGACACCTTTCTGTCATGGCCAGCATTATGTTTTCAGCAATCTGAGCTACAGTAGCTCTTCTGTGTGATCGAACCAGACAGGCTAGCCTTTGCTCCCTACGTGCATCAGTGAGCCTTTGAGACTCATTTCATGAGTCAGAACGCTGACACCAATTTACTGGTCGTCCTTCCTTGCACCACTTTTGATAGGTACTAACTAGGGATGTGCGCTACTACTAATTTCATTGACGTTTAAACATAATTTTTTGTAACTGACAAGTCTAAACTTGAATCCCTCAGAAGACCGTCAAAACCATTGTGTGTATATGTGATCCATTTGAAGTACTTAAACTATGAATCAAACAGTCAAATAATTCCAGATACTTTATTATCCAAATTGTTCTTATTTTACATCAAGTGGTTAAAATTTACAACACTGACTGCAAAAAAACAAACACAAAAAAACAGACGGGATGAATGAAAATGCAGATTCACTCTCTGACAGTAGGTGGTGCTTTCAGACAAGCAAAATTACAGTGGTTACTCCTGTAAACAAAGCAGTGCTGTGCCTATAAACAATATTTTATTAGGCATTAAAAATGTCAAGGAAACCTTTCTAAAAGTCAGTTCATTTTCATTCATATTGTTTCTCCCTTTAAACTAGTAAATATGCTCCCACAGCTTGCTCGACTTCCAAGTCGACATTTCTCTGTGCACACAGTGACACATGCATGCAAGGTCTGAGGTGAAATTAAATGTATTTGTTTTCTGCTTCAGATGTAAACTTTCAAAATAATGTATTATTTTTTAAAAACGTATCATTAAAATGCCTGAATATTGACTAGTGGACTAGTATTTCCAAAGTTGACTAGCAGCAGCTGTTCCATTTAATCAAGTAATCTCGCACATAACCATCCTCTGAGGGATTCAAGTTTAGACTTGTCGGTTACAATATTCATTCCTAACCACTTCATTCCGGGAATACCCCACAAGACTTGCTGTTTTGGAGATCCTCTGACCCATTTCTCTACCCATCACTATTTTTCACCTGCTTTCAACACTTGCAATTCAAAAACTGACTGTTCACTTGCTGCCTAATATATCCCACCTCTTGACAGGTGCCATTGTAATAGGGCTGGACGATATGGCCAAAATTTATTTCACGATATATTTCTTAATTTCGGTCGATACGATATAATTCCGATATCGATATGAACAGTATTAAAGCCTCGTAAAAACGGCCAAGAACGCCCACAACAGATGACTGTGCATACAAAGTTATGAAAAATGAATTTGCCAAGTCTATGACACCTCATATAAAACCATATAATATTTTAGAACCAAAACAGCACAAATAAATTAATGTTCACCTTTTATTTGTATTTAGCCTTTATTCAAACAAGAAATGTGAAATCACTGTCAAATAATTGTCTCAGACTCACCTTATTAAAGGGGTCATATGATGTTGCTAAAAATAACATTATTTGGTGTATTTGGTGTAATGAAATGTCTTTATGCGGTTTAAGGTTAAAAAAACACATGATTTTCCACATACTGTACATTATTGTTTTTCCTCTATGCTAGGCCTGTCATGGTAACTTTTTGTTGTGCGATATATTGCCCCAGAAATAATTGCGATAAGCGATATTATTGGCATTTTAAAGACCATTTTATGCCACTGAATATATAATCATAATGTAACAGCATAATAATGCAAGATGCCCTACACACTTCCAAATGACAACAAACTTTTAATTTTTAAGAATATTTAGATCATGGAAATTAAGTATCAAAATATTAGATACCTTAAAAACCTGAATAAATGGTAAATAAACCAAACACCGCAACACACGTTCCAAATCTTGGTTGGCCCTCTCAGTTTGACCATTACTCTGGGGATGGAGCCCAGAAGACTAACAGTCGCCCCTAACAAATGACAAAACTTTCCAAAATTTGGAAACAAACTGAGGCCCCCTGTCAGAGACCACATCCACCGGGAAGCCATGAATACGAAAGACGTGATCAATGACAGCAGCCGCTGTTTCTCTGGCTGAGGGTATTTTGGGCAGAGGAATAAAATGAGTTGCCTTCGAGAACCGGTCCACCACGGTCAAAACTACCGTGTTACCCTGAGACGGCGGGAGTCCCGTAACGAAATCTAGCGAAATGTGGGACCAGGGTCTCGAAGGAACAGCCAGCGGTTGAAGAAGTCCAGCTGGGGGTCGATTGGAAACCTTAGACCACGCAAATAAAACGTGTGATGTTTAAAGCATGCGTGCATAACAGTCCAGCTGTACCGATGGTCTATAAGAATAAAGCGCAGATATGCTGTTCTAAATGGACATCGGGAACGGGATATTGTTAGACCGCCCGCTCCCGTTCAAATTACACCAGAGTTATTATCAATGTTGAAAACAGTTGTGCTGCCCAATATTTTTGTGGAAGCTGATTCATTTTATTTTTCAGGATTCACAGATGAATAGAAAGATCAAAAGAACAGCATTTATTTAAAAATAGAAATCTTCTGTAACATTATAAATGTCTTTATCATGACTTTTGATCAATTTAAAGCATCCTTGCTTAATAAAAGTATTAATTTCTATAATTTCTTTAAAAAAAAGAAAGAAAAAGAAATCATACTGACACACTTTTGAATGGAGTAGTGTATAATGTTACAAAAGCTTTTTTTTTTAAGATAAATGCTGATCTTTGGATCTTTCTATTCATCAAAGAATCCTGAAAAAAAGTACTCAACTGTTTTAAATATTGATTATCAGCAAATCAGCATATTATAATGATTTCTGAAGGATCATGTGACACTGAAGACTGGAGTAACGACACTGAA